ATTATGTGCATCTTCATCTTGACACCTTCATTTTTTAGAGGCCCATCTGTGCATTCAAAAGCATATTTATTATAATTTTTCCAATATTTGAAAATGCTTTTTGTCCTAGAAATTTTTGGAATATCCAATATGACATATTGTTAAAACTTCACATATTTTCTGGGTTTTTACTTATCAATTTAGATAACAATTTAGGTTTTAAAATGTAATCAATTTTTTTCTTGAAGCCATCTTTTTTGGATCCCCTAAGTTGTTTGTCTAATTTGAACTAATTTCTTCCTAACCCTTCTTCACAGAACTAAACCTGGGATTTTGTTTTTAATCTCTATGGCTAGTTAGGTATATGTCTCTGATTTTAGTTACTAATTATTATTTTTTGTTTTTCAAATATACTGAATCAGGTAATTATCCTAGAAGAGTATTTGAGTGGTATGCTTTCCAAATTTGGTGCTCCTGAATATGTCATCATTTATCTTTGTCATTTGCTGGGTGCAAACTTGTAAGTTTAAAACTGTTTTCCCTCCAATTTATTACTTGGTTATAGTATAACCTTAATATGAAAATCAATAAAGTTAGTGCTACAAATATTTCAAACATTTCACTTGTGAATTAGGCTGTAAAGTTTCTAAATAAAATGAAGACTAGCAATGCATAAAACCAATAATGCTCTATGACAAATTATTTGGAAAATAGTTCATGGTCAGTAAACCTAAAATAATTACACTTCATCTGAAGGAGGAAAGTCATGCAATAGTATCAATAACAATAAATGCTAACAATTAAAACATTATTTTTAATGCTAACAATTTAATAGAGCAGTTACTATGTGCCTGATACTGTTTTAAGTTTTTTATGTATATTAGCTCATTTAATCTTTACATCAACATTATGAGAAAGATAATATTATTATGTTCCTTTATACACAAGGAAACAGACACATAATAGTAACTTGCAAAAGATCACATAACTCTTTTAAGTGAAAGAACAGGGATTCAAATTCAGGTAGTTTGGATCCAGTTCTATGCTGCAATATATCATGGTGTCTGTAGATACTGAAAAATCATTCTATAAATTTTTATCAACATTCCAATAAAATATTAGGTAATAGGAATGAAGAAACTACTTACTATAATGGAGATAATTTACCTGAATATAAAGTTAAAGCAAAACAGATGGAACATACGAGAGAAAGAAGACAAATTGGATCAATTTTTACCCTAATTTAGGATTATTTCCTCAACTTCTCCCCAGAACTCATATTGAATGCTTTGTTTTGGCAAGCATATTTTAATTTCTTAGCATACATTCTTGTATTCTTATTTCTCTGTCTTATGTCAGATTTTTTTTGGTTTAATTTTATGAATGCAATATCTCAAAATTTTCTCAACAGATTAATTAGGAAAAAGAAAAGTTGAATGCTATTCCCTCAGTTCTATTTTCTTCAATGTGATTTATTTTATTTTTACTCTATTTAAAGTTTTTTTTAAAGTTTATTTGTTTTTGAGAGACAGAGACAGAGTACAAGTTGCAGAGGGGCAGAGGGGGAGAAGAAGACACAGAATTTGAAGCAGGCCCCAGGCTCTGAGCTGTCAGCACAGAACCTGATGTAGGGCTCAAACCCAAGAATCAGGAAGTCATGTCCTGAGCCAAAGTCGGATGCTCAATAGACTGAGCCACCCAAGCGCCCCTATTTTTATTCTATTAATACATCATGTAGACATTAGTTATAAACCGGGAAAGGAAAATGCTTTGAATTCTCTACATTAACAAATAACTTTTTGATCCTGCTTAAGGCTGAAGATTATATTGGTCAAGGATATAAATCATGAGCTTTTTGAAATAGCTTATTGTTCAAGTTTTAGTTTTACTTTATGAAACGTTTAAAGCAACAATTAAGGATTTTTGTATATTGGGGGTGTCATCAGTATACTAAGCGTTCATACGTATCAATATGTGACAGAAGTGAGATAGCAAAAGAAGGGCAAATAAGTTTCGATGACAAAATTCACGGACACTTCAGTAGAATAGTCCTCATTTTTAACATTGCAATATTATTGGTAAACTACCCAATTTGATGGCTTGAAATTTTTTGGCATAATTAGAAAACCATTTGTGACCTTAAAGGGGGTTATAACCTCAAGGACTGTGGTGTTTCGCTCATAAAATAGTAGTGGAGTGCTTGCATTTTAGAGATTTTTCACTGTGATTCATCTCTGAGAGCACAGTTCAGATGTTGACTACCTCATTAAGGAAAAGTCAGCGAAGATTTTATTAAGTGAATGTATCTAGGATTATAAATGAAGGCACAGGGAAGGCAAAATCAGTACTTTCAGAGGAATGACTGACTTATTTCTGACAATTCTGGAAAATGGTCACAGGGGTCAGGTTGTAAAGATGTAGAGCTGTCTGCTAGCCAAAGACATTACATTCAGACGGAGTTCAGGGAACAACTCGTTGGAGAAAGGAAAACTGAAGCCTGAGTTGATTTAACTTTTCTTTTTTTCCTAGAAACTTTATTTTCTGCCTACCTCATTTCCACGTTGTGCTCACGAGGGTGTAGAAGCGCCTGCGACCCCTCGTGGTGGTCCCTGCCCACCGGGCGCGGAGACCCCGGGGCCGCAGCGGGTCGGGCGCGGGCTCGCGCTGAAGCGTCAGGGGGGCGCCCCGAGCAGGCGCAGAGCGCACGCGCGCCAGGCCGCGGGCTCGTGCTGCGTCCCCGCGAGTTCGGTGCCGGAGCTGCCCGTCCACCTGAGGTCTCTCAGGTTCACAGCCGTCTGGGCAGCGTCCTGCTCTTCCTTAACAGGCTCCGTGGCTTCTCAGGGCCGGTAGAGACCAGGCGTGACCGTCTGTGGCCGTTCAGGGAGATGGGGCCGTGGACACAGAACTCCCTCCCCCGCGCCCCCCACATCAGCCCCACGGAGCCAGCCCCCTAGTTGTTGCTCAGGGGTGGCGTGGTCACATGGCGCAGACCTGGCATAGATGGGTTAAGATAAGATGCCAAATCTCGGCAGGCCGGGGGTCAGCCCTAGGGTCAGTGACGGCGGAAGTCTGGGCCGCCGCTCCCAGGAGGCTGCCTCCTGCTTCGAGAAAGTTCTGGGGCAAGGTGGCCACCAACTGGAGAGGCTGCAGAGGCGGCAGCAGACTTCAGCAGAGCTGGCTGGCCCGTGTTCCTGGAGAGTATGGTCCTGAGGGCAGCCAGGTTTTCGACACAGAAAGCTTCTCCCAGGGCCTTTTCAGATCTACGAGGTAATGCCATCACTTTTCCTTCTGTAGATGGTGGTTTCATTTAGAAGTCAAGGTCTGTGCCACCGAAATGGGCTCCTGATGCAAGGAACTTGAGGACATCGTTTGCAGACATCTGACACTGTGAAAGTTTCCTTTGAAATTATTATGGGAACCCAGAAACAACACCTGTACAACTCTATAACTCTGCCCGAATAGCACAGAAAAGCTCACCTCTTCTAATTTGTAAATCAGAAGACAGGAAGATAGTTTTTTTTTTTNTTTTTTTTTTTTTTTTTTTGGGTGGGGGGAGACAGAGAGTGGCAGAGGGGGATCCAGGAGCAGAGACAGAGAGAATCCAAGGAGGGGCAGAGAGAGAGAGAGAGAGAGAAGCAGGACTCACCAAAGTGGGACACAAGGTCACCTGAAGCTGGGCTCATGCTTGCCTGAGGCCGGGCTCTAACTCGGGAACAGTGAGATCATCACCTGAGCCAAAGTCAGACGCTTAACCACTGAGTCACCCAGGCGTCCCAGAAGACACTTTCTATAAAAATTTGCAAAGATGCTTTTTCCGTATATTATGATTTTGACCACTAGATGCGCTCAGTGTTTAGACACACATAGTGACTTTATATTGGAAGACCTTAGTAAAATCATAGGTAGTGTTCATTTTAAAGGGCTGGCTTTAAATCTGGGAAATAGCTCTTTCTCCATTTCCTCAGCTGTTAAATGACAATATTACCTACCTTTCATAGCACTTTTGTAAGAATTTTAAAATGGTAAACTGTGAGGTACTAGAAACAGTGTCAGACATAGACTGAATACTCAATAAATATGAGATATTATCATGTCTCTTCTATCTGTGACTATCTCTACCTTAAACCTCAAGGTAACAGTAAGGTATCTTACAGGGACTAATAAAACTACATCTGTTTTTCCAAACAGGCAAAAAGAGATAGTGCTTTTAAGTGTATTTTTCTTAGCAGCTTGAGGATAGCAATAGCTGTTCTCATATTCAGGGTCTGTGCTTGTTTCAAAGAAAGCTCACCATGTGTTGGGAGCTTGGCAGATGACTCAGTTCTGATTCCCTTTATGTTCACTTTCTCTCATTTTTCTTCTGAAATGCACAAGCAGCCCAGCATCCATTTCTCTCCCTTTCGTCTTCCCCCCACCATCACACACCCCCTTTCCTTCAACACGCATCCACACACACACACACACACACACACACACACACACACGCATCCACACTAGTTTCATTTTATTTATTTTGTAACTCCCAAAGGATTCACGGAGCAGGCTGTGTGCAGCTGCTGTGTTTTCTCCTGTGTTTCTTCCTGGTTAAATTGGCAGTTACCTACTGTGTGGAGTTGCTAGGAGAAGGTGAATAAGCATGATTACAGCATCATTGATGTACATAGTCTTTCAGTAACAACCTGTGGAGCTCTGTGCTCTGTCTTCTGCATGACTCTATTTTCTCATTGCTGCCATTAATTTTTATTGCGTTTATTGTTAGGGCATGATGTATCTTTAACTGTTGGTTCCCGATCAATGAAAAGACAAAAACCTTGGCATTTAAAGCAGGCACTTTTTTCTCAGGGTGGTGCTGCTGACACTGGTTCCTTCCATCTGCTTTCTTATTACATCCTGCCCTCCTTCTATTGGTAGAGAGGAATTCAGCTTCTTCTGGTGCGCTAAAGTCATTCACGTTTCTCTTGTGCATAATAGATCTTGTAAACTGTAGGAATTCTGATGTGCTTCAGTGCACCGAACGGTAACAGATGAGCTGCTTTTGGGGAGAGCTGGAGTGCTCAGTCGGTCAGTAGTACAGTAGCAGGCTCACATGTGCGGATTGTTCCTGTGAGGTCAGAGGATCTGTTTATACTGCTGTCTGCTTGGGGAGGGGGGTGATGTGAGCAGTAGATATGCCTGTCAAAGTCAGTAGCAATTCTGGCAGAGGCTGCCCTCAGATTTGTAAATCTGCAATATTTTGATAAATGAGAGATGCTACTGTATAACTGAGATTTGTAGTGGACTGAGGAATGCTTGTTCTAGCTGCTGGAACTGACTGTAACTATATTGCCCTAGGAATACCATCATGGGGTCTACGGCTACAGAAATTGAAGAATTGGAAAACACCCCTTTTAAGTATCTCATAGGAGAACACACTGAAAAAATGTGGCAACGCCTGAAAGGAATGTGAGTAAGCTCTTTGCTTGGTTCTGTGTTTTTATTCCCATCACCCCACCCAAAATTTGAGTATTAACATGACTAATTGTTCGTAATATCTGACTTTGTGGATTAGTGTTTCCTTTAGCAAGGTTTTCTCTTAAAAAATAAAATGTGAGTCTCAGCTAACAACTTGCCTGAAGGATGGATAGTCTTTTTTGTACCTGTATGTTTAATATAGAGTAAGGTAACTCTGCGAATTCACTTCTCTGTTATAACACATGGCTTCTTATATACATTTTGTATATATTCTTTAGATACATGGTTTAGATATACAGAAAAGTAACTAGAAAAGCTGCTTGCCAGGGTACTTGCAGAAATAAAATTTCCTTCAGAAAAATGAAAAGATTACTACTGGTACATATTTCTCTGTGATTAGCTTTTGAAAAAACAAGGGCAGAATTAATGTGCTAATAAATACTTATATTCCACTGTGCTGTTTCTTTTTTGTAATTAATAATATTTATTTAAGAAAAAATGTGGTAAAAACACTAGTAGCATGCCAAACTTATTGGAGAGTTTTGGCTTTAAATTAACCAATTCACTTCTTCTGAGAGTACACAATAGTTCACGGTATACAGTATACTTTACTAAGTTGGGCCAAGAGATGTGCTTATGTCAAACATGAAATGTAAGTACCTGAGTCAAACTTTAATTGCATTGCTATTCACCTTGTTATTTAAACAGGATTTAAGTCTTTTTCTGTGTATGCTACTAATCTCTGTTTAGTGTTCCAGCACCCTATGTATACATGCTTTATTTTAATTATAATTTAAAAATCAGGTTAATACTTGGATAAAAATGTGCATTATGAATATATACGGGCCTGTAATTGTTTAGCATATTTGCAGATTTCAAATGAAAATATATTTGTTTGTTTATAATCATAGCTGAAAGAGTCCTATGCCATGAAAAAGAGAGATTTTTCTAGGGTTCATTTTTCTAATGCTGCATTTACATACTATTGTATAAAGTGCAACATCTGAGTAAATTTAATGTTACTGTTTTGATATCTATGATTTTTTTAAAGAAAAGTTATGTCAAACTTTGTTTAGAGGAAAAATTCCTTCCATTTTCCTCCACTTGAATGTATTTAATGATGTTTATATATTTAATAGTATTCTCTGTATATTTTTTTACACTTGAAGTAACACATGGCATTGCAGTGCACTAGTATAGAGCACACTAATAATGCAAACAACATTTAACAGGGAAGAACTTTTAAAAAGGAAGCCATCTTACATCATATGAATGAATTAGAGAAATATGTTTTCAAGATCCACTGAAGATCCAAAATTATAGTTTTTTGGTGAGGTAGTTCTCTAGGGAAACAAATAATCCTATGAAAGAAAGTAACAGCTTACAAAATTAATTAGCATAGATGAAAATTAAACATTGGTAGTCATCAGATGATTTGTCCTAACCTAATTAGTAGATGAACATCTGTACCGGAAAAATTATAGATCATATTACAACCTATTTTAGATTTTCTTCCCTTTAGCAGGACAGGATGTTTTTGCTTATTTGTTTGTTTTGTTTGTATTTGTTTTATTTTTCTGTAGTTACTTAAATGTATGAAAATGTATGGTAGTGAGTTTATGCATATGTCTTAAAAAATTTGGAAAGTGACTTTGTTTTTACCTGACATTTTAGAGCAGTTATCTGACTTTCACTTTATCAAGTGATCTCAAAGATCAATCTCATTTTATTTCAGTAGAGAGTAGTCAACAGTAGAGCTTTATTATTTGATTTCAGCATTGATGTAAGATCATGTATGTATTAAGTAAATATGGTGTTTTGTCTCCAGAGAGCCACTGAAGGAACATTTAGGGGAAAAATTATTGAAACTAGTTTTTTAAAAAATAATTATTATTACCGAACTGATTGAAATGACTGATTGCCTTTGCATCAAAGAAAGAAGGAATTTGCATTTTGGTACTACTACTTTAACTTGTACTTTGACTTAAGACATTTCCAGTATTCTAGGTTTAGAATTGTCAAAACAAGCAGCTCTAAATCTGAAATCTGCATGACTAATGACAACCAAATTGTTTAATTATGGTCTCTTGTATAGTCTGCATTCACAGCAGTGATATGAGGGTCTCCTTATTCTATTGCTGAAATTGTCTTGCTTATTTAAAATGTAATATAGACTCAAACAGGATTTTTAGCTTATTAAAATCTCTACTGCTAGAATTTCACTTTTTAAGAGTTGGCAATTAAAATTATGTTATTCATGAAAGCTATGAAATGATTTTGCAATAATTTTTTTAGTTAAAAAATACTCAATGAAGACTTTTAGATATTTGGAAAATGATTGTTTTCTACTTTTACTGTATCTAACTTCAAAGATATATTGATTTAATTCAACACAAGAGTCTGTTTTTAAGTAGGTTTATAATATGTACATTTTTTCAGGTTAAATAAAAATAGAGACAAAGGTTAGAGTAAAATAAAGTTTATTCAAATATACTTTAAATATGGAAACACGAACTACTGTAGGTAGATATTTATAGAAAATATTTTGTAAGTAATCATGTAACACAAGACTTTAGAATGCCCTTTTGAGTCCATAGAAATAATTTTTAAAATTTTATAACACATGTGAAACATCAGTAAACTAAATTAAAATATCAATTACTCTACCTTTTTGTTGATTTTTTTCATTGAGTCCATTTTAAATCTCCTTCATATAATATTTGAGACACCATATTCAGTGATATGCCAAGAAATTTCTTATTCCTTTGTGGAATCAAAAGTGAAACACTTTCCTCTTCCCATTTGTGATGTAGACTTGCATACTTTATTCTGTTAATTTTATTTTATAGTTATGACTTTTTTCTTTAGCTTTCTTCAATCCATCTTCTACCACCAATTTATCTCTCAATATGATAATTTAAATTCTACGCTATGACTCACCATCCATGATGTTGGAAACATTAGCAAATGCCTGTGGTATCATGCTCTTTATATACAACATTTAAAAAGAGTCATATACTTGTCCATAAGTTGTCAGTTGTTTAGGACCTGGAAAACACTTTCTATTTCTTCTGTCCTCACAGCATCTAATGAAATTTCTGGTTCAGAAGTTTTCTGTGACTCTGGGACCTGTACTAGTTTCTACAGACTAAGGACATTTTTCTAACACTAGTCTTTGCAGAGATTGTTAAGTTTATTGATTCCCATGAGGAACATTGATTTGAATATTTTGTATTTGTTTTCATTTATGCGGTTCCCACCCCCCCGCCCCCACCCAATTTTAGAAAGAATTCTTTTTTCTGTATCATGGTTCCGTTTTTTTTTTTTTAATGTAAAATTGCTCCACAACTGTGGATTTAAAAAGAAAAAAACATATTTAAAATTTTTTTAAGTTTATTTATTTTGAGAGAGTGAGTGAGCGGAGGAAGGGCAGAGAGAGAGGGAGTGAGTGAGAATCTCAGGCAGGCTTCGTGCTGCTAGCATGGAGCCTGATGTGGGAAGAGCAAGATTGTGACCTGAGCTGAAACCCAAGAATCAGACACCTAACGGATTGAGCCACCCAGGTGCCTCTAACCTCACTTAATATTTGAGAATTAACTTTGCTCATATAGATGCTTCTCTCCATATCTCTCTGTATCTAAACAAATGTCCAGATATTAAGATCTGGAACTGTGTATGCAACAGTTGAAAGACTTAAGCTTCTTTTTTCCTTTTTTCCTCTGATGAGTGGTAAACACAATCATCAGTAATGGAAGCATAAAATATAGAGAAGAAGAGAGTGAAGGAGAAAGGAAGAAATGTATAATAACCCTATAGCAAATTTAAAGTAACTGCAATTAGGGGCACCTGGGTGGCTCAGTCGGTTAAGCGTCTGACTTCAGCTCAGGTCATGATCTCACAGTTCATGGATTCGAGCCCTACGTTGGGCTCTGTGCTGATAGTTTAGAGCCTGGAGCCTGTCTTTGGATTCTGTGTCTCCCTCTCTCTCTGACCCTCCCCTGCTCATGCTGTCTCTCTCTGACTCTCAAAAATAAATAAAAAACATTAAAAAAATTTTTTTGAAGTAACTAATTAAAGAGCGCAGTGTTTTGAGCAGCTCTCAGATGCACTTGCCCAAACCCTCATCACCAAGAAGATGTAGCAGAAATACATATTTAGAATAAACATTGGCAAAACAGGTAAAATGACAGGAGCTATTAGCTGGAATTCATATATTAGCCGGGTACCAAACTGAATCGTGCTTTAGGATAAAGCAGCATTATAGACTAGACTTTACTATCCTACCTCTAGTCCTTTCCTTTCAAAGTTCAGCATTCTTCACAGAGTGCTCCTGTACCTGCTCGACATTTAGAGCCTCCTCTCTTGCCTCTCCTTATGTGGCCACCTCCCAGTCAGGCTCAAGGTTGCCCCAAAGAAATGTTGCATCTCAACCATCTGCATTTACTCATTTTGTTCTCTCTTCCCAAGGGAGCCACTCCTTTCTCCTTTCTCAGCTAGGGCTGCTCCTGCTCTCTGTGATGCTTTTAGAGATGTGTGGGGATGCTTCTGGTTATTGCAGTGCCTGAGGATGTTTCTGTATTCAGTGAGCAGCAGGGTTCAGGCATGATAAATGTCCTCCAGAGCTTGGGAAATTCCTTTGTCAGGAAGAATTGTCCTACTCAAAATGCTAATAAAGAACACTATTAAGAAATGCTCAAGGATCTCTTCTTAAATTTCACTTACAAAGGAAATCTTTTTTGACCTTTCTTACTAGGTCAGTTTCCTGTATTTGGCTCATAAAGTAACCTGGACTTCTTTTTTTATAACAAAATCTACCTTCACTATCGGACCACAAATTCTTGTGGGCACAAATCATGCTCATTGTGTTTGTTTTTGGATCCCCAGCACCAAGCACAATACCTGGCATGTAGGAGATCATGCAATGAATCATTTTCAATGAATGAATGAATAAAATTTGGAACCTTACAGTGGTTATAAAAGTTAGAGGATCA